TCTGATATCCATTTAGGAAAAGATAAAAATTGGATCCATGCCTCATACCATATATCAGAATAAACTCTAAGTGGGTCAGAGAACTAAATGTGAAAAATAAAACCACAGAAGTATTAGAAAAAAACATGAGTGAATTCCTCTAAAACCAGTTTTAGTAAAGAATTTCAGAGTATGAGTCATGCAAAAAAGAAAAAAAGAAGAAGAAATAAAAGAAATTAAACTATATATGTAAAATAATTTTTGCTTGATAAAAAAATGTTATAGCAAATTCAAAAGACAAATAACAAACTAGGAGAAATTATAACATCTTACCCTGGTAAAAGACTAATATCTTCAATACATAAAAAATGCTTACAAACTAAGAAAAAAGGAACCAAAAATCCTAAAAGAAAAATGGGCAAAAGACACGAACGGACAATTCACTATAATGTCTTTTAAATATATGAAAACATTTTCTATTTTACTCAGAAGAGAAAGTCAAACTATACTAAGATACCATTTCTCATCTATGAAATTGGCAAATATCAAAATCTGACAACAGTCTGGTACAGGCACTTTGATGTACTGCCATTGGTACTGAAAAATACTATAACCCTCACAAAGCAGAATTCAGCAATTTTTAAACAAAATTACATAGTGTTTACCTTAACCCCAAAATCTCACTTCTAGTAATTTCTGTAAATATGGGCTTTCAATAATATAAAAATACATATTCACAAGTTATTCCCTGTAGCAGTTTTACAATTGAAAAGTACTGGGAACAACCTAAGTGCTCATATATATAAGAGAGTGGTCAAATAAACCTGATATATTCACACACGTAGTATCATGGAGCTGTAAAAAAGAAGAAGACAGTAGAAGGGGAGGGATAGGGCGAGGAGGAGAAGGAGAAGAAAAGGAAATCTCTATAAACTTAAAAACTGCTTAGGGGTGATTTCTGGGATATATTTTTAAGTGATAAAAGTAAATATGGTACACTATCTCTTATGTAAGAAAGAATAGAAAATAATAAAATATTTATGTATCAGCTTAAATTTTCAAAAAGAAACACAGGAAGAATAAACTAGAAACTAATAAAACTGATTACCTATGCAGTAAGGGTAGATGAGAACTGATTAGAAGGAATACAGACTAGGTGACACTAACCTGAAAATAGCTTATGTAGTTTTTTCAAAAGGATGGAGGGGAAATATGAAAACTGAATACAAACAGAAACAAATAAACTTAATTATTCCAAATCAATAACCTTTAAAACATCTACAAACAATCTTAGATTGTACTTAGTAGGTTTATTTCTGTGGTGGTATGGAAGCAGCAATTTCAAAACAACTTTTTATGTATTGAAGAATTGTATATGATTAAATATATTGTGTAATGTTTGGAGACATGTTTTTCAGTGTTAAAGAAGGGAGATACAAACATGATCTGGGCGAAGGCTAAGAAAAACCCAGTAATGTTAAATTGAACTTGGACATATCGGTGTAAACTCATGATTTGTAGATAAATAAACAAAGAAATAAAAATGAATATGGATATGTATATGTATACAACTATAGGGGTGTGTGTGTGTGTGTGCGTGCATGCACACCCGTGTTGAAAGGGCCTAAAAGCAATGACATGTCAGAGAGATTGAGCATACCAAATACCTAGATCTTACTTTCTAAATACCCTTCTTCGGTAAAATAAGCAAGGCCTTCTTGAATAAATGGCTGATTCCACGGGAAAGTTAGAAAAAGTATAATATAAACCTGGAACATCACGTTGTGCCAGAAATTAAGTGCTTAAAAAAATGATGGGGATATGTCAAAAGGACACGAGAATGACTTGAAGAAGCTTCCACCGGCCAAATCTGTGACAAATGAACATCAAAATAAATAATAGAACAAATTATAATTCATTGTAGAAATCTGGAAGACATCACTTTAACAAAATGATCAAAGTTTATACCACCAATAATGGGACCAATGATATCATTGTCTCCTGAGGCAATGCACTGAGAAGGACTCAGCATCACTTCAAAGGCATTCCTGTCCAAAATGTATAACCCAAGTCCAATTACAAGGAAATATCACTATAAAATAAATGGCCCATTCTTCTTCAAAACTATAAATGTCATGAAAGACAAGGAAATGCTAAAATTAGTTTCCAGATTTAAAAAGATGAAAGAGACACAAAAACTAAATGTGATCATAATTGGTTCAATATGGTCTTGTCTAACAAAGTCCATAAATAATACTAAAAGGACAGTTGAAGAAATCTGAATAAGGTCTATGAATTAAATAATAGTTTTGAATCAACGTAATTTATGATTGTGATCATTGTACTGTGATGGTGTAAATGAAAGATCTCATTCTTAGGAAACACCCACTGAGATACTGAGAGATAAAGGAACATAAAGTATGCAGCTTACTCCCGAATTCTTAAAATGTATAAGTGTATTGTGCATGTGTAAATACGCAAAGGAAGAAAATGATAGAGCAAATATGGACAATGGTAACAATCAATGAATCTAGGCGAAAAGTACACAATAATTTTTTATACTATTCTTTCAACTTTTTGAAATTATATCAAAATAAGAACTTTCTTAAATAAGAATATACTCAATTAATAAAAAAGATGATGACACAAAACACAGGAAATGGCCTTGAATTGCTCAACAGAGGCCTTGCGGGCCAGGAGAGAATGGAATGATACATTCAAAGTGCTGAAAGAAAGAAACTTTACCAAGAATACTTTACCCAGGAAAGCTATCTGTTAGAAATGAAGACAAGATAAAGACTTTCCCCAATAAACAAACCTAAGGAAATTCACTAAACTTGTCTGACAAAAAATGCTGATAGTTCTTCAAGCTGAAATGAAAGGACACTAATTAGTGAAATGAAAATACACAACACACTGGTAAACATAAGAATATAGTCAGATTCAGACTACCTTAATACTATGATACAGTGATATGTTAACTACTTAACTCCAGGATAAAGGTTAAATAACAAAAGTATTAAAATAGCTATAGCTGCAACACATTGTTAATGGATACACTATAAAAAGATGTGAATGGTAACATCAGAAACAAAAGG